GAGCTCCAAGAGAAAAAGGAAACCGAGAGGCATTCCTGCTAGGAAAAGGCCAATTGTAGAAATTCTTGGTTTATCCTCTCAATCCCATGAAAATCCAAACACAAGCCAAAATCCTACCTCAAGCCAAAATCCAAATACAAGCCAAAATCCTACCTCAAGCCAAAATCCAAATACAAGCCAAAATCCTACCACAAGCCAAAATCCTACCATAAGTCACAATCCCAATACAAGCCAAAGTTTCATAAATCCCTTTTCCCAAATTGCCGAATTGGAAACAATGTTGAATGAGGAGATTCATCAAGTTGATGGACTTGATTTGGTGTTGGTGAGTGAATACCGAAGAGTCCTAAATTGGAGAAAATGGAGACTTGGTTCCTATCAAGATTTGATGACAAAAGGACCGAGTATGCAAGAAGAAGAATTATTTTCCTTGAATTGGATTGGTAATTTTGATGTTGGCCATGCAACTTTGATGTCTACGGTGAATGGAATATTTGTGAATAAATTAAAAGCTAAGTTGGCCGAAGCTACTGTTGATGTCACAGTCCAAGGAGATATGCCTACGGAAGACGATTTCCTAGTTGATATTGAGGAATTTGTCACAAGGAATGTAGAAGAAGAAAATGTCACATGTGGTGCACATTTAATGGACAGTGGTTTATATGATGTGAGTGTTTTGAATTTCACTGAAATGAGTCAAGATCAAAATGCCATGCAAGCTAGCCAACACACGGAGGAAATTCAATCCATTCATGCAGAAAGTGCACAAGGTGACACGCACGTGTTACACACACCGGAAAGAGAAGGGCATCAAGTGGAAAATCAAGCACAATCTCACATGCTTGAAGTCAATTCTGCTCAAGAAGGAGCAAGGTGTGTTCCCACAACCCAAGAAGAGCAAGACATTGATGGTACAACCTCAAAGGAAAAATTGGAAAATATGGAGAAAGTTGTACTAAGCCTTGTTGACCGAATGGAAAGCATGTTTCAAGGCATCTACACTCATGTGGATCATGTTGTCAATACTCAAGGTGGAAAATTTGAAACATCTTTTGATGAAAATCGGAGGAGTCAACAACATTTGATCGACACCCACAAGAACTTGAGAGACAAGTTGGAGGATTAAATGCAAATGTCAAAGGGCAACTCAATGAGTTCTACATCCAACTCTCTCAAATCCTCAAGAATTCTAGAAAGGCAAATGAAGCAATTGCCGTGAGTCAAAGCCAAGGAATTCTCAATGTTGTTCATCAACATGAGAAGCAGATTAGTGATGTCCACACGGATCTCATCTCCGTCAACACTAAAGTGGGCTGCCTTCGGGGATCATATGAAAATATTTCCGAATCTATTTCATCTCTTCGTGAATCGGTTCATACACTCCTTGATTACGCCAAAAAGGGGGAAGAGAGATTCAGTCATTTGGAAGGCATGCTTGAGATGATGATGACTGCCATGGCCACCCGAAATGTTGGCACAAGCAGTAGTAGAGGTGGAGGAGGCAGATCTGCTGGCAGAAATGTTGCTAGAAGAGGAGGACTAGAATATTGGTTCGGTAGTGGTAAGGCTGGCAGTCCAGGAGGATCAAGCAGCGCAAATACCACTAACCGTTCTTTTCGTGACATTGTTTGTGCAGGAGGAAATATTGAGCAAATTAATTGGTATAACCGTGCAGCTCTCTATTTGGAATCCACACCAAGAGATGGTAGAGTTGAAATGCCAAAGTTGGTGACTTTAAATGATCTACCAAAGGGTATGAAGAAGAGTGGTCCAAGTGATCAAAATTTGTGGGTTTCAAACGAGAATTTCAGAAGAATCCAAAGCTATGCTAGAGCTTTGATGATCATGGTTCTAAAGGACTATATCAAAGTCAATGATGCCGAGCTACAAAATGGAAGAAGCCTAGAAGAATGCATCATATGGTATGAAGAAGGTATACTGCCCGGGAACAACATCATTGAAGCATTCAACTATTATTTAGTTGGGCAGGTATGCAACAATTATACCATTAGTGACAATTTCATTGATGTTCAAAATCATATAAATCATGTGCTTAAAGAGAAGAGAAACAAAGTCATTAGATGATTTGTATGATTGTCACATTTATTTTGTATGGTCCACGGGAACATGAACCCATGAACAATTTGGAACAAGTTGCAATGATTCGAAATATCTGATTATGATGCTATTAAGTTTTCCTTGTTATTTATTTATTTTATTTGTCTTGAAAGGTAACATTTTAAGCTTAGATTGTATCAAATCGCATAAATTGGAAAAATGCAAAAATTCATTATTATTAAAATCCAAAAATGCGAATAGGATTTTTAGTTGCTAAAAATACCTTTCTTAGAGTCAAAATCAAATGTTAAACTCGTCTTGGCTATGTCTAAGTTAATAAAATCTTTTGAAAAATAATTGTTTTTAAAAGACAAGCCAAATGACTGAGTATAGGTTTTGGCGTCATCAAAAAGGGGGAAAATTGATAGGAATATTTTTGTAAGTTTTGATGAGCCAAATGTACTTTAGATCCCCTTAGTTTTTAGGTCTTTTAGTACAAGCATCATAAATCAGAATATCGAGTCAAAAGGAATCTACCATATGAAGAACAAAATTAATTTGGGAAATTAATTTTGGTCCTACGAGTATTCAGCCGAGAAATAAGCATAAAGAAATGATGTTGCAAAGAATGATTGGATGAGCCTAATGGCGAAATGGTAGAAGTCCTTACTCAAAATGATTACACCCGAGATCGATTCCCCCCCAAGGACTTATTTTTTACAAGTCAAACCTTCGGACAAGCACAATGTTACCGAAGGAGCACAATGCTACCAAAAGAGCACAATGTGCTAAGAAGCACAATGCTACCAAAAGAGCACGATGCGGACAAGCATAATGTGTGCTAAGGAGCACGATGTGTGCTGACAAGCACAATGTGTGCTAAGGAGCACAATGTTCAAAAGGAGCACAATGTTCAAAAGGAGCACAATGTGCCCAAATCAGAAACGCACGATGTTCAAGTCAAAGAAGCACAATGTGGCAAAGAAGCAAGATGATCAGAAATTGGATTAATTCGAAGGAATTTATTCCAAGTCTACCCACATGCCACAAGAATCCAAAATTGCCTGAAAGACATTTGATCAGAACGGAAAAATATTTATGAAGACATGAATATAAAAACTTATCCTAGAAATAAATTCCATCGGATGAATTTATTTCAAAGATACGTTGGATATTCAATATGACAAGAAAAATAATATTTTAAGAAACAACTAGAAAATCAAGTTGTGATAAAATATTATTTGTCAAGCAAGTTGACAATCAAATCAAAATTGAAGACCTACTATTGTCAACAATATCAGGCTATGAAGATTCAAAATTCAAATATCAAATTATCCCACTCCAACGGATATATTTGATTGCCTATAAAAAGCTATGAAGACTTGAAGACATGTGCAGTGCAGAAAACAAGATAGAGCAACGAGATAGAAGTGCAATACACACGAAAATTTAAATGTGCAAGTGCTCAAATATTCTTAGAGACTTAGTCTGAATAGTCTCAAATCTAGTTGGAGAGAGATACAATTACCTTTGTATTTGTAATTGTAAAAAGAGTATAGCTGTGTGCAAAATACTCTAGTGAGTGTAGCTGTGTGCAAAACACTCGTAGTTGCTAAGTGTAGCTGTGTGCAAGACACTTAGTTGGCGTTGAGTATAGCTGTGTGCGAAATACTCGGAGTTGAGTGTAGCTGTGTGCGAGACACTCGGAGTTGGGTGTAGCTGTGTGCAAAACATCCGGAAGAAGTGCTTGTGTAGCACTTATTCACTATTGTAACTGTGTGTGGAAAATAGTGAATTTCTCCTAGACGCGAAAGGAGAAAAGTGGACTAGGAAGATTACGCCACTTCCGAACCACTATAAATTGCCTCTCTCATTTACATACTGCACTTACATAATTTACTCTATCTATCTATCTTATCCGACTAACCCGTTTACTATTCACAGTCAATCTTAATCGTTCGGGTTTAGTGTGTTTTTACATATGCATGTGACTCAAACTTCTCAAGCTTAAATACTGAATGATTCTAAGCAAGTTTGACGTGTTGCATGTAACATTCATTACACGGTCGACGTGTTACGATATTTATTTATAATCTTGAATATTGTTATTATATATTGAGTGCACCATCTCCTTTATATATTCAAGATATCTCTGTCATTTACAAATCATCTGTACCTGTCTTACATGCGTATTTAATTCATTGATTGGGCATAACTCTTTACATACTACCTATTCCGCTGTGCAGTTCAAATTTACTCTATTTACTTGTTACTTAGAGTTGAAATTACCAAAGAGTTATTTATTTCGGAAAAAGCTTGAAAGTCTATTCACCCCCCCCCCCCCTCTAGACTTTCACCACCCTATCGGGACCAACACCAATGAACGGATGTGATCTTCGCGATCAATCTAACGGTTCTAAACAATTAAGATAAAAGCTGATTCAAAGATGCATGTGATATCTTTTATTGGAGTATGTGTGGAAAAGGACAAGCATACCAATGAACGGATGTGATCTTCGCGATATAATCTTACGGTTCTAAACAATTTAGATAAAAGCTGATTCAAAGATGCATGTAATATCTTTTATTGGAGTATGTGTGGAAAAGGACAAGCATACCAATGAACGGATGTGATCTTCGCGATCTAATCTAACGGTTCTAAACAATTCTAATTATGCCTATAAAAACGTTCTTCATCACCAACAAATTGAGAATTCATCCCCTTATCATCTATCTCTAAACATACGAATTGAAATATGAATTCCAACACTGGAAAATGTCCTATGCCATTTTCTTCATCACCATCCTCATCTTCCTCATCCTCATCCTCATCATCACCGGATTCTGAGCACAATCTCGCAAGTGCAATACGAGCACAAACACAGTTATTAACCCATGCATATACTAGCCACAACCTTGCCATAGCTTCCTACATTGAAAATATGGATAATCAACCCCCAAGGCATGGAGGTTCGACTTTTGGTCATAGAGTGATTCATCGTGATCGTGAAGAAGCAGATCGAAGATTATGGAATGATTATTTCTGAGAGTATCCAAAATAGTCTGAAGCAATGTTTCGTAGACGATTTCGAATGATTCGAAATTTGTTCCTACGAATTGCCAATGTTGTTAAAGGTCATGACAACTATTTTGTGTAACGGAAGGATATATAGAATCGATAGACTAGGCTTATCTACTTTACAAAAAGTTACAACAGCGTTTCAAGTTTTGGCGTATAGAATACCATAAGATGCAGTAGATGAATATATCCTGATTGGAAAATCAATTACAATTTAAAGTTTGAAGAGATTCTATCGAGCAATTGTAGAGGTATTTGGGGAGCGATATCTAAGAGCACCTGATGCTAATGATGTTGCACGGTTGCTTCAAATTGGCGAAAAATGTTGTTTTCCAGGGATGCTTGGGAGTTTAGATTGCATGCACTGGACATGGAAAAATTGTCCAACTGCCTGGGCTGGACAATATGCTGGGAAGAGTAGAGAACTAACTATTATTCTTGAAGCTGTAGCCGATTATGATTTGTGGATTTGGCATGCACATTTTGGTATGCCGGGGTCAAATAACGACATTAATGTGTTGGAGGCATCTTATTTGTTTTCAAATCTTGTAAACGGTATAGCACCTCCTTGTCATTATGTTATTCAAGGACAACAGTACAACACTGGATATTATTTAGCAATTGGTATATATCCAAAATGGTCCACATTGGTACAAACAATTCATGAACCTCGAGGGCCCAAAAAGAAGTTATTTGCGATGATGCAGGAAGCGTGTAGAAAAGACATAGAACGAGCATTTGGAGTTGTCCAATCACGATTTGTAATAGTCAAGGGACCGGCAAATTTTTGGGATAAATGTGTATTGCATGATATAATGCCATCTTGCATTATAATGCACAATATGATCATTGAGGACGAACGTGATGAGCAAGCAGTTATACAAGTTTGGAAGGAAGCATCGACTCTTGAAGTTGATATAGCTAGAGATGAGAATATTATATTTAAAGAATTTCTTGCTCGGCATAGCCAAATTAAAGATAAAGAAGCTCATTATGCACTCTGTAATGCATTGATTGAGCATTTGTGGGAATGATTTAGTAATTCCGATAATTAAATGTACTAGATGTTGTATGTTGTATTATTATTGTGGAATAAATTAAATTTTCAAAAATATTGTTAAATTCGATTTTTTAAAATTAATTAATGTTATAAAAAATTAATGTTAATAAAAACTATTATTTACATTACAAATTATATTTTATATTAAACTAATTAAGTTCGAACTAAATTATATTAAATTAACTAAATTCGAACTATAATTGAAAAATAAAATTATTTTAGTGTAAAAGTTTGGTGTTTGGTGCTTTGGTGTAAATGGTTTGGAGATGAATAAAATTTGGTGTGAGAATATGCTGAGAATATTCATTCTGATGTGACATTTGCTGGAAAAATTTGGTGTTTTGGAGATAGATGGGTTGGAGATGCTCTTAAGGCTGGGCAGAGGTAAATCAGGCCGTTGATACCAACTGTAACCAAATAAATAACGTAGGAACATAAATCCGTGACAGGATCTTATTTAAGTACTAAGTACTAACCTCCAGCCATAGCTTCCGATTGATGCCGATTGATGAAGATTGTGTTGTCACGAGACTATTGCGGCAGAGTAACAATATATGTTTCTCTCCTTTCTCAACCCACTCTAGATGGTGTATGAGAAATAATGTTAAGCAGTGGGAGGACTAGAGGGCTCTTTATATAATAACCATATGCCATCAATATGATAAATGAATCCCTTCCCTAATCACACTTCTTACCTTAATTAATAGAAGCATGTATGGAAGTCTTGCACCACATAAGAATTACCTTAATTATTTTAACTTTAACCTAATATTACAATAATGTAATTAGGAAAATGTTAATATTACAATAATGTAATTAGGAAAATGTTACAAGGAACTCATTCATCCCTAATAAAACTTAATAGTGTTCGATTCTTGACTAATTTAAATTCAGAAAATTATTCTGTGGACCCGGGTCCATCTTGCAAGGTGGACCCAAGTCCAAAAATACATAATTTATATACCAAATGTTCACAATTTAAATTAAAAACATTTAGTATATAAAGTGTGTATTTTGATTCGGGTCCATCACGCAAGATAGACTCGAATCCATGACATAACTGTCCATTAAATTTACTTACCTCATCTGAACAAGTAATTGTTGAATATTTTATCACAATCAGCTTATACATGTATCACAATACACGAGATAAACATAAGAGTAATATAATACTAATCAAGCAGTTGTTTGCTAAGTCCTATCCTAAGCGGAAGTTTTAGCAAGAAACACAAAAAGGGGTTTGTCTCATCCCCCTCCCAAGATCAAAGTGTGCTTGTACTAATCACATTTATATTTAAAATTTAAAATGATATTGAAATTAATGGATAACCTTACTAATATACAAAAAGGAAACATATATTCTCAAATTTTCACCAAGTTAAGCCTCTCTATCCCATCAGCAAGTTTTGCAGGGAATTATATTGAAGCTGACATTTTTTGCCCAATCTTAACAAAGGAACCCAACTCCATTTCCTAATTAAGATAATCCCGAATCAGACTAGCTCTTACAACAAGGAAACACATTCTACATCCGTAGGAAAAATAATTGGAAATCAAATTTTCTCCAAAACTTACTTTTTCAAGTTACAAACAAAAACAGTTTTTCTTTTACTATTTATAATAACAATACAATCTCCCCAACATAATTCGTAGTGTAAATAACACTATTTAAATTCACTTACCCCATCATATTTTGTCACAATCTCATACATGTATAAATAGATCGAATTGTTCTTAATTAGGCATTGTTTTCTCAAACTTTTAGCTTTGAATAAACTAAATTAGGGGTTTGCCTCACCCCTTTCAAACTTAGATATTCATTGTGTGCTTGTACTAATCACATCCATATTTAAAATTTAAAATTATATTGACATTTATATAATTTCTATACTCTAATACTGGAGAACCATACTAATATATAAAAAAAGAAACATTCTCAAATTCATAAGTTAACAACTAGTTAAGCCATCTCTCATCAACAAAACCTGCTGTTAATTGAAGCTGTCATTTTGCCTAATCTTACTCCATGGAAAACACATTGTCCATAGTCTTGTACATTCTAACATCCCTAGAGAAATCAATTGGAAGCTCCTCCTCAACTCCACCTACATCAAATTTTCTCCAAACATTACTTTTCAAGTTACAAACCAAAATTGAAAGTTCGGTACTATTTGTACATAACAAAACAATCTCCCCAGCATGATTCGTAGTGCACCGCAGGTATTTACCCTCTTTTGGTGGAATGCGCATAGAAATCTTCTCCCAGCATTCCTTACATTTCTCCCAAGTCCAAACATTTAGGCGGCCCATTCTCCAAACATAAACAATAGCCAGTTGACCTCCATCAACTTGTAGCAATGCAAAATAGTCGTGAACAAGAGTAGAATAGTAATATTTTTCCCCAAATGCACCTATAGAATGAAAATGTGATGATGATGGAACTTCAACTGGAATTGGTATCAAAGAATAACTCTCGGACCCAACTTCAAATGCTACTATGTGGAAGCTATGAGGGTCATCTCTAGTCGTCAGCCAATTATAGGAATATATAATGCCGTCAATGTAGACACTAGGATCGCAAAAGCCAGGGTGGGTATAGCCTTCAAAGGGGTAGAAGGGGTGAGAAGAATAGTTGATCTCCCTCCATGATTTATCCACTCCTACCGTCAGAATCCAGTGCTTATACTCCAAACTTTGGATTTGCGTGAGGTCCTTCTTACAGGCTGGGTCCTTCCTACAGACTGACATCAAAACCTTATATCTTTTAGATTGTGAATCGAACCCCAACACTGCACAGGGTGAAAATGGACGGGGGGAGTGGAATTTGATTCTCGGAAGGTAAATACGATGTCCCGTACTAACGTTGCAAACAGTGACGTCTCCACTGGGTCTGGACAGACAAATCAGGCCGTCGGAGGAAGAGCGTAGACAGCCCGTCAGAAAGGGTTCAGAGTCCAAGTAGCCGAGACGGTTGGCTTGGAGCATTCCCGGCCGCCGGGGGTTTTCTTCGCTGAAATTTATGGTGTAAAACGGAGGGGCGGGAGGGTCATCACAGAACCACTTTTGACGTTTGAAAGCGATGAGGATTCCCGCCCTACTGGGAAGGGTCAAGGACAAGCTGCGATATAGGACGCCAAAGCCATGATCAGCTATGAGAGTGCAAAAGAATTTAGAAACGCACCTGAATTGTACTAGGGATTTAACAGGAAGCTTGGAGAGGATTTCGACCACAATGTCTTGGGGAAGAAGAAGAAGAGGTGGCGTTGTAATATACTCCGCCGTCTTCTCTGATAAGCTCATCGTATCTTACTATACGAGCTGACTAGATTAGGTTTAGGGCTAATATGTATTTTGGAGTATCCTCGTACTAGATTGAGGATGGGGTTTTCACTTTTCAGGTTTTAATTTAAAGAATGCCTTCTTAAAATAGAGTTGTATTTAAGGTAGGGGTGTAAATGAGCCGAGCGGCTCGTAAGCGGTTCGCGAGCCGCTCGGTCAAAGTTCGGTTCGAGTTTGGTCAAAATCGAGCTCGAGCCAAACTCGAGCGGCTCGTTTATTAAACGACTCGAGTTCGAGCTCAAATATTCTAGGCTCGTGGCTCGTCGAACCGCTCGCGAGTCATAATTAAATAAATAGATAAATATTATATATATGGTAAGGATCGATGACTACTATTGACTTGTAATTAAAGTGGAGTTCTAAACTTGTTTTGAGTGTTTGGAGTCTTTAAATATTGAAGTTTGGACTTTTGAATTTTTTAAAGTTTTTATTATTTATGTATGGATAAAACAATGTTTATTATTAATTGAATAATAAAATACTTGGTAAATAAATATATAATATTATTTTGTATTATAACTTTGATATTTAATTAAAAAATAGTGAAAAAAAAAGAAGAAAATAGACAATGTAGTAAATATAATCAATTGATGAATTTGAATGTAAAGAATTTTTACATTAGAGAAATATAAAGACAATATAACTAATAAAATTATTTCTCTTAATTAATTTATTGATAATGAATAATTTTTTTTTTTAATAAAGACATTGTAGGGATAATGTAGTGAATATAATCAATTGATGAATTTGAATGTAAAGATTTTTTATATTGGAGAAAAATAAATACAATATAACTAATAAAATTATTTCTCTTATTTAATTTATTGATAATGAATAAACTTTTTTGAATAAAGACATTGTAGACACATAATTCTAAATAAAAGAAATGCATATGTATTATTTTTTGTTGTAGCTACTAAATTATTATTTAATTTAATAAGAATAAAATAGAATACTAATTATGCCAACTTTGATTGGGATGTGGTTGGAACCTAAGACCTTTCTTATTGAAATCAATAAGTTAACGGTGAACGAACAGAAATTAACGGAAAAGATAATATTTAACGGAAAAGTTAACGGATAATCATATTTATTAAGGATAAATTAGGAAATCTTCAAGAAAAATTAAAATTTGATCAATCTGAACCATTCATTTGATTAAAAAATTTGACTGCCCCATTTTTTCTACCTATTTTAGGCCTAACTCTCTTGGACTCTTATTAGTATAGTAGATAGAGATATTAATTTAAATAGGTCAAAATCAAGCTGCTCGAGCCGAGCTCGAGCGGCTCGAAAAATTGCCGAGCCGAGCTCGAGCATCATTATTCGAGCTCGATCAAGCTTGAGCTCGGCTCGTTTACACCACTAATTTAAGGTAAAATTATATTCTCCCTCCCCTCCTGATTGCGCGAATTGCTATACAACAAATGTTAGGACTCTAAATTTCACATTACCTAACTAATAAGGGATTTGACTAAAAAGGAATTTAATTTTACATATTTTTTTTGTTTTTCTTTTTTGACCAAGAGAGTTGTTGATTATTGCAAATGTACATGGATTCAAGTCTACTAACCTAGATCTGGCAATTACTGTTTTCATCCTTCAGTATTTTCTTCATCAAGATATATAACTTTG